TATTAGAATACAAATAATGAAAATTACAAAAAAGATTTGAACAAAAATCGCAAAAAATACAAAATATACAAAGTCACTTACAGATTATATTATAAAAAATAGGTCGCTCAATGTTGATCGTGGATATCCACACTAGCCATCCCGACCAACACTTTACAAAGGTAGAAATGCGACTGGGAAACAACGCATGTGTAAAGACAGAATTCAAATTTAACGAAAAAACATATCAATTTACGATGTCTTATCGGCAAACGGTAAATAGGCATTATCTAAATTATCTGTATCGCACTGTAAATTAAGTCCGCTGACTTGACTTTTTATGTAGAGCATTTCTGACACCAACCTTTTTCTGTATGATCTCTCAAAGTCCAAAATTTCTACTTTATCCCACTCAAAATCATGTGAAAATTGATGTCTATGTTCAGTAATTACAGACTTCTGAGTGGAATTTCTATTGATGTGACATTTATGCTCCTTAATTCTGGCCTGTAACATTCTGCCAGTTTGTCCTACATAAGAAGCTGCACAATCGCGGCAATTGATCTTAAATACCACGGAAGGATGTGAAAAAAGAGGTAAAGGATCCTTAAGAACGTTGATGAATTTTCCCAGTTTGTCTAGGTTAAAATAAGCTAAACGTGTGTGAGAGTCAGTAGGAAATATATTAGAAAATCTCTCAGAAAATTTATTGATATAAGGTAAGACAAACCAGTGACGCTGCGTTTCATTAGAATTCTTGTTAGACAAAAACCTTCTTATATCATTATTTTTATAAAAATTCTGTTTCAGTCTGATTATAAGATTGTCAAAAATGAAGTCCATAGGATAATTATTGTCAAGTAATAAATTAAAAATAAAGTCAAAGTTTTTTGAATGAAATTTCGGATGTGATAAAAAGAAGGCTCTGTCCACAAGGCTAATGACCGTGCCTTTTTTTTGATATGTAGGATGGTTGGAAAAATAGTTAAGGTATCTACCAGAAAACGTTGGCTTGTGATACCAGTCATGTATTAATTTATTATTATCTTTAATAATAGTCATGTCCAAAAAATTGAGTCTATCACCACCCACCTCCAAAGTGAACTGAAGACGTGGATGATAATTATTGTACAGATTTAAAACTGCAACAAATTGCTCTTTAGGAACCATAAGAGCTATGTCATCAACGTATCTTACATATAAAGGTGGACGGAAGGAAAGAGATTTAAGAATGGATATTTCCAAATCTTGCATAAAAATGTCTGCAAGAATCGGAGAGAGGGGAGAACCCAGGTCGAAAGCGTTCATGCTTATTTAATTATTTAATTGTATAATATACGGATTTAATCACATACACTCTAACAACAGTGTTATTGCTTCAATAGCCAAGATTCATTATTTATTTGAAATTTCTCGAAGCTTTATACTATCATCTTTACATATTATTGAATGTGTCATATATCTATTTTGATAACATCTTTGATGAATACTTGGTGCTATAACATTTATGTGACAACCATCAATCGCTCCAATTACACCTAAAATATAATAATTTATACTATTGTGTGTATTTGAATATAACACTTTATTTTGAATACAATANATAATTATACCTGGAAAACCTGCAATATTCTTAAATTTTTCTTGTATATTGANTCGCTGATTTACAGTAGGCCATTGTATTACTATTGGTACAATCTTTACCATGCATTTTATCCAAATATTAATGCAATGAAAAACAGTTGATGTTGNCACATTAAATTTGTCCCCAATTTGTGCCATAGATACTTGATGTGCCAAATAATATAAAGCTATTTGTTGAATTTTTTGTGGCTGGACAGGTTCAAATCCTCCAGTAAATGTCTAAATTTAGAATTTATGTTTAAAAAAAAAGTAAATTAAATCTAAATAGATCTAACTTAAATCTAACAAGATAAAAATAATAGAAAAATAGATCTGCTTATTGTTAGATCCAAATTAGATCTAAATAGATATAAGTAAATTTATGTAAATTTACATTTTATTTGTTATTAGATCTACTTTAGATCTACTCAACTCTACTATATTAGATCTATTCAGATTTACTTAGATCTAAGCAGATCTAAGTAGATCTAATATAATAGATCTGAATAGAGCTAAAGTATTGTAGATCTAATGATAAATAAAATATAAATTTACATAGATCTATATATTTATATTTATTTAAATTCAATTTGGATCTAGCAATAAGTAGATCTATTTTTCCATTTTTTTATCTTGTTAGATTTAAATTAGATCTACTACATTTAATATATTTTTTCCTGGTTATATTATAAAATTGTATTTGACAATAAAATATATAATAAAAATATATAAAGTATGACATTATTACATGATATAAATTATTTACCTTTTGTATTTCTTGTTGCCGTATTATTAGTTGTAATAAATTGTGAAATGTTAAGCGTTTTAATCGAAAAATAAGGAAAAAATCTATCTCAATGTATAAATCCACCCAAATTTCGGAATATAATCCCGGACGAGTATGAGATTGTCTTCCATTTATTGTGATATAATTTCTTAATTTTTTTGTTTTATTTCTTTGATGAAATAATTGATATGTTTCTACTAAAGGTGTTTCATCTTCTTCAAATATTTCATTCATAAACCTATATAAACATGCTTTAAAATTCATGTTAATTTGATAAGCAAAGCAAGCACGTTACAAGTAATGATTAGAATGTCAAAGGTTAAAATTCCAACTAACTATTCAAGAAACTCTTTTTGAACAGTTTCAAATTCGCGCGTATAGAAAAGAACCAGTACATTTTATCGTAATACTTGCGGTACATGTACCACAATAAGCTCCGCCTCTACCAGTGCCAACCTTGGTACATATACCAAACGATCGCCAAAAATCGCCTTACAAATGCAATATACATTGTGACGTGGTAGTCGCGCCGCTCCTCCTTTCCGCCACAAAAATTGCAAATTCCGGATGAATCCTGGAATGCGAGCCGTCCGAGCGCCAAGATCCTCCAGGGCTTATTAATTAGTTGTATAGTTGTCTTACGCCTTGCTTATTATTTTGTAAATAATTGGCACCTCACCGTCGTCTGCGTATCAACGAGAGAATATCTGCGATAAGGAGCCCCGGAGGGCGATCTACTGTAAATGATGAATAACGAGGCGAAGATCGAGCGAGAGAGAGGAGCGTACGTCAGCCAGCGCAGGCGACCGTCATCAGCGGTCCTGATCCAGGCGTAAGGATACATCGCGAGCGCTAGAAAACACGAAAGGACGGCGAGTTATAGCGTCGATAGGCGGCGTCACCGGCCAGAAAATCAAGCGGCAAATATTCGGCAAATTCTGGCCACAGATCGCTCCAGCTGGAGAAAAATCGGGATGCGCCGCATCCCGAGCGAATGACTACCTACAGGTGCGCCAAATTGAGTCGGCGAGGTGCCGCTAATTAGCCTCATTAACAACAGAAGATTAGTATTCGTAATTCGCGGCTATGAGCGATAACTCCGGCGAACCGGAGCGTCGCGCCTGACAGAATACCGCGTCCTGATTGGCCATTGCGAATCTAGCACACTTCTGCGTGACGTCATGCACACAGACGGTTCTGGCTTGTGTGCGTGCCCCCACCGCTCGATACTCTCGTTGCTCTCTGCTCGATCTTGCAACTCTGGTATCGACCCCGAATCGATTGCGATCTTCGATCTCTTGGTCGCTGTCTCTTGATCGAGTCGGACGTATTACCGGATCCTCCCGTTCCTTGCTTTTTCGACCAGAATCCAGGAGGATGGAACATAACGTCGAGGCTGAAAACGACGGCGAAATCCGGTGAGGTGCTTTTGCGTTTTCTGTGAACCACGAATCCGCGCACCCGTTGTTCTGTGTCGAGGCTAGTCGTGCCGCTTCTTGTAGAAAATACTTTCGCGGACAAGAAGATGTCCTTCGCCATATTTGGGTAATTCGTGTAGCGAGCGACTAGAATCGGGCTTCATGGTGTAAAAATCGCAACCAACAATTCTTAAAAATGTCTTTATTTTTTCTCACAAAGTATTCTTCAAAGTACAACTTCTTACAATTTATAAGTATTTGCGCTCGCAATGCTTGACGTGACTTTTTATTTTTACTTTGATGTAGAACTGCTTCAGAACTGCGCTCCGGATCCAAAATCCGGGGTTTTTGTTCGGAGAGAGAGTGAGGATTCCTTGATCTCTATCATTTGATTTGTCCCTTAATTATCCCCTCTATGATTTCTGCCGAATTATCGATCTCTCATTCGCGGATCTCTCAGAGGCGAGTAACTCCGCCTGCGTTCGATTTCTAAGTCAGTTGAGTCATCGATTGTTTAGATTTTGGTGTCGGCGCATGTCTTTCTTATCTTGTTTATATTAACATGCGGCGGTCTTCGCCTCTCGAATTTTATGGTGGTCTTGAAGCGCCGAGAGCTATGGCGAGCACGTGATCCGTGCGTGGGACCTCATTGTTCATTATATTTCCTTCGTGAGAGTCGATCGGAATTCAAGTTCCTCGGCTTGGTTTTGTTTAATGTTTACAATACGTGATCAGATTCGGATCGAAATATCTCGCGAGGCTTGCTAGTCTCCGCCTGGCAACTTATTACTTAAACTATTTCTTAAAATTCTAATTAACCACTATAGTTACGCCAGGCGTTACACGTACAGTGCGGAGCACCATATCGTGCGCCGTGAGGAGAAGTAGTTCTTCTCCGGCTGCCTCCTACTAGCACGCGCCAGCGGCCCGAGATGTAATCCATATATACCGGCACGGTTACCGATGATACCGACAGCCATATGTTACCATAAAATTATCGCAAACATTGAAAAGAGTAACTGCATTGAAAGTGACTTTAATAATTTATATCATATGTAGAGTTTCATTACTATGAGTTACGTTTTATTTTGAAGAACACCTGCTGGGCTACGCACTCAGGGTATTACAGGGTTCTAATTACAAAAGATGTGTTTGTCAGAACGCATAACGCCGGAGGCACGCGGATTGCCGAATACATCGGGGACGGACTCGACGCAACCGTACTCTTTCACGGTTTGAAAAAAACTCTCTGCCTCTCTGCGTTAACGCGTCTTCGGCAAGTCAATCCCGAGGAGGCACGCCTCGGTCGAGAGTCGAATAACAAAACACATGGATTAGATAACGACGCTCGGGGTTGTCGAGACGAACGCGCATTGTTGTGTCGAACTCTTGTGTCTAACCGTCGCGCGTCTCCTACACATATTTATTTATTTAATTATTANCTTTTACGTGATATAAGAAACTTACGGTATGTGTAAAAAAGTAAACTATATTTAATTAAGGAAGTAAAAAACTATGACAACAGATAAATGTCATAGTGAATCAATTATTAAAAAATTAAGAATAAAAAATAACATACTATAATAGATTTGTGTGTATAATTAGCGTTAAATTGTCTTTAAAACATCAAAAATAAAAACTAGTAAGGCAATATTATAATAGTTATATTTATATATAAATATATACATAAAGTTGTAAATGTATTTAAAAATTTAACAAAATAATGATACTAACAAATTGTGTGTGTGTGTGTGTGTGTGTGTGTGTGTGTGTAAAAAAGTAAGAAAGATGGGGTGCGACCTCACTTTATTGCGACCTGGCGTACCCTATGACCTCTGCATGATCTTGCTTGCGTATCGTGGCTACTTTCCGTGTTCTATAAGCGCTTCATCGAAAGCTTTACGCGAGAATTGGAGAAAATAACTAGACTTTCGGCGATGTATATTTTGTCTGGTCAATGTAGCGTTGAAGTCGGCGCGAGTATGTTCAATTTCTTAATCAAATTACTTGTTATTATTGTTCATAATTGGAATGAGCTTTCTTAATACTTTTATCTAATTGTTTTCAAAATTTGTCAACCATATTATTTCGCTATTTTTTTAAATTTGTTTGGTAACATCTATTAATTTTCCTTTTTCTTAGTTGTTTGTTACTCTTATTACGACTTTTTCTTATTCTCTGTTATTTTGTAAATAATTTTTATATTTCTTTATGCTCATTACCCGCTTCCTTAAATATTACCGTTAATAAATTGTTATCTTTGCATTTAATTAGATGTGTTTTATATGTCGGCTTGTATACCCGAAGAACATCTGTACGGACGGTCTACCTTACACCCTGCCTCTCTCCGTTAGGCCCGAGCTAGCCGGCCCATCGCGTTGATCAACGCAGTTTTGATACGAAAATGTATCTGGCGCCCGAAATAAAGACATAGGATTCGTTGAGTTGACATGGTGGCTTGCTTGTTTCCCAAATCTCCTTGTTTCTCCACTGTCAGCAATCCCGCAACCTCGCGCAAGCTTCGACCGTTGTCCGAACCGATCCCGTCTCAAGCAGAGCGACGCGCGATATCGCTCGGAAGTAGCAAAAATCGTTGCAACATATATAATGTTACGTCCCGTGGACTCCACTTCCTCCTCAATAACAAGATATGATATCACGGGAACGCAGCCGCACGATACTGGCGCGAGACCGGATATCAATTCTCGATAGAGTCAAGAAACACAGAGTTTGGAAAATTTCTGTTTTTCTTTCTCAATAAATTTTCGTTTTTTTATCTTAAACGGAAACATACATCCCGGGAATATGAAATCAAGGGAAATCCGACGGATAACGAGAAATCAGGTGATCCCGAGTTTCCCGAGCCGCGGGTATAAAAAGAGCCCCCGCAGGGCTCTTAGAGTAAGAATAAAACGAAATTTTCCGAAGTGCGGTCTTGTCGATACGCGAGCAAACGAACAATTGTGTTGTGTTGTGCGGATCCTGTTGGAGCTCACTCGACACCGCTGCCGCTGCCGCTCTGTTGCTACCACGTTGCTGCCGCCCGGTACAAACCAACAATAAGTAGTAAGTGCTAGAATTAAATCGCAAATATTTGTGCCTCACGCCGATCAGAGTAGACAAACTTAAGATATCTACGAGAACGGTTGCTCCCCTTGTTGTAAACGAGCTAACGCTGATACGGGATGCAAACGATTCGCAAGGATCGTCAAGCAACTCTCAGCGCGCTCTCGCATTTTTAAACAAACTAACGCTGATACGGGATGCAAACGATTCGCAAGGATCGTCAAGCAACTCTCAGCGCGCTCTCGGATTTTTAAACGAGCTAACGCTGATACGGGATGCAAACGATTCGCAAGAATCGTCAAGCAACTCTCAGCGCGCGCTCTCGCGCCCGCGAATATAAAATCGCGGAAAAGAAGTAGTGAATAAACTTCGGCAGCAACCGATCTCTGAAACCCGTGCCACTTGAAACTTACGATCGCGAATTTTAAGTGGACTCGCCCGCTCCCAAGAAACGGTGGACGTCGCGAAGCGCACTTAAGAGCTATCGACAAAGAGCCGCAAAACGGGCCCGAAAACAGGTTGAGGCACAACACAAACACCAGCCGAGACTCCCCTCACAGTACCAGCCACCCCGCTAGGAAGTAGCGAAAACACCAGTAGCAATAGCCACACCGACACACCACCAGAATTGCGAACTCAGTCGCCTCCTCCGCGCTCTTCTCCACTCCGCCCTTCGCCACCATCCTCGCCTGAGCTAGAGTATTTAGGCGAGTGCCCCGCTGACCCCTCTCGCCCGCGCACCTTCCCCCGTCCTCTCCATTTTTTAGCACTCGCTTCTGCTTATAAAATCACCACCCCTACCTCCACCGCATACATAGTCGATCCCGAAAATCTCGATCCCCCCGAACTCCACCGAATAGTCTCAACCTATCCTCCAAATGCCTTCCTTACAGTTAAATTCCCCCTCCTTTCAGAACACAGGTTAGTACCTGTAAAAGACTTTTATAAACTTTTCCCCCCTACCTCTTGTAAGATAATGGAAATTATAGAAGTCGAACTGGACTGAGTTCGCAATGCTAACAAATAAAAATGTATAAATCATCATCATCAAAAACCATATCATTGTAAATAAAATCCCACACACACATATGTCAATAACTACACATGAAAAACAAATATATACAAACAATAAAGACTTTAAGGCTCGTTGAAATTGTCAACAAGAAATATATAAGGCCATACGAGCCAATTGCAGGATGTTTGTGCAGAAACTGTGCGTGTACATATATATATATATATACATGTAACGAATTTTACTTGTAAATTTTACAAGTGTTTTTT